CATTTTGAATCGTCTCAATCGAATATCGGAATACAAAGTTATGATAAAAACACTGAAGGAGGGTGCAGCTGCCTGTTTAAAACAAAAAATTCCGTTACATAATCCGTTAAAACAACAAATTCAGTTAGTTTTTCCGTTAAACCAACAAATTCCCTTTAAATGGGCACTTTTTATATATAGAAAGATATATATATATATATATACACACACACTCTCTCTAATATTGCAATTTGCATTTACTTGTAGTGAATTGAAGACCAAACGTATTGATGTTTGACAATCAAGGTAAAGGGTTCCGTTCAAGATAAAAATGGTAAATTTCAAAAACCTTGCTGAAATTTTCAACAATTTCGTAAAGGTAATTACATTTACACCGCTCATTTAGTGCATGTTTAACACTCTTTAATTTATTTTATAGTTTGTTACAAAATCATTTTCAACCATATATTAACACAATAAAATGTTCTACACATATACCAAAATTTTCCTACTTTTTAATTATATATTTTCCTAAAAATCATTATTCAAAGCTCTTTTTTATACTAAAATGATTGTCAAACGGACAAGTAATCAGCCCCTGTTTGATAGCCATTATAAAAAGAAATTGGAGTAAAGTGGTGTTTAAAAACTTTATAGATTCAATACTAAAAAGTAGGTCAATAGACCCCTATTTTAACTTTTTAAAATATATGTGAATTTGTCTATTCAAATTTGAAGAGTGAAACCAACAATTAATTCTAATTTTATAAGGTTGCATTAATAATTACACATTAAGCCAAAATTTTCCTTATTTTTAATCAAATATTCTTCGTCGGTCTTCTATTTTAAAATGCATTATTAACTAAAAATAGGACTCAAATAGGCGCTAATTGACCACTCATATATAAAAAATATGTTACATATAAAATGAGAAAAAATCAATAAACATTTTTTTTAAAAAGACAAAATGAAAGGCCAAAACTACGAACATCATAGAAATGTCTAAAAGCTTATTCTTTAAATTTAAAGATACTCTCGATTATATATATATATACACACAATCATTTTTATAAATAGAAAGTCTCTAGAAAAATGTTCTAAGTCCAAGTCCTAAGGCCATGTTTGGTTTGTATTTTTCTTTTGAGTTTTGAATTTATTTTTGAGTTTTCTATTTTAAGTGTCTATTTTAATATTGTTAAATACACGTTTTGTTTGTTATTTTGAAAAATTATTTCTCAAAATAGAAAATTAAAAAAAAGTTTGGTTTGAAATTTTACAATTTGTTTTATGACATTTTATTTCATAAATTTTGATTATTTAGTAAAAATAAAATAATTTTATGTTAATATATTATCATGTAATATATAGATTTTAAAGTTGGTGAACATTATAATATTTTTTCTCGTTGCACACATAAATAAAAATAAAATTTAAAAAATGCGTTTAAAATATAAAAAATTAAAAAATTACTGATGTGGACTAGGAATATTTTTATCTATGTTCACTTAATATTTTTTAAAAAAATTTATGTAAATAATCATTAAGAGCTTGAATTAATTTTATTTTTTATTTTTTATAATTATTATTTTTCATAAATATTTATACTTTATTTTAATTTTTAATTTTCAATTTTATAATTTATTTTTCTTGATTTTTATTTTTTAAATTTTATCGGTTAGAATGCTGTATTTTTAAATTTAAATAAAATTTTATTTAACCGTTTGTTTCTCATGTTTTGAGTATTTTCAGAATTTTCTCTGAAAACATTCAAAAAGTAAAAAAAAAAAAAAAGTTTTATTTTATAAATTTATCTTTGCTTTTGTAAATGTATTTTCAAAAATAACAGATCAAATCCGTTTTTAATATTTTACAAAAATTAAATTTTTTTTTAAAAAAAACTTGAAAACAACCAATCTGGCGCGTCTTAATAGTCTGGGTCAAAAGCTTTTTTAGACTTCTGATTGTGTGACCCCTTGATTATAATTAAAGGCGTAGACTGCAAAGACTAATTATTAATCTCCTACATAAAATCATATAAGCTTACTTTTTCTCTACAATTACATCTTCAAACTTACCAAATGTCTCGCCCTTATTGAGCACCTGACATTAGACTTGGACTAAAATAAAAAAATTTCCCTTCTAATTATTTTATTTCTTGAGTCACATTTTCTTCTAATCATCATCATCATCATCATTTACCTATTTTTTAAACACCGAACTCAGATTTAAATTGTTCAATAGAAATTACTTAAGCGAACTCTTGGAACCTATCATACAGACGACAATTTCGTAACGCCAATATATGTTCACTACTTTGCTTACTCTATTGCTTTGATATTTTTTTATCACGTCAGGTGATTTCACTTGTTAGCATATCAAATATACTCGAGCTGACAAATAATGCACATTATTGTGTTCGGGATATAGATAATCCATTAGGTACCCAAGTATATATATAGTTTAATTTTTTTGTACGGTCAACCTATAAAATTGAACTCTACATCTCAATTCATACACTTCCAAATGTAGTAACATCACTACTCTACATATCCACTTAGATCATTCACCCTAATTGGTATAATAGTTAACCTGCAACCTTATTAGAACAAAATTTTGACGAATTTAGGACTAAAAAATTTCTATTGTAATATAAGTTGTTTATGTCCATGTTTGTCTACATATGCATTCAATTCATATTGTCACTAAAGCGACCGAGGATACTTCATCGTATGCTTAATTAAGTAACATAATGTTACATTAATTTAATAAATAAATAACCAATTTAGTATTTACAAAAACAATCAAACCTTATCGCTATCGAATAACTAATTAATTTCGTGGCATCCCCAAAAAGATACTCCTTGACTAGGTGACTTGTTAATTAATTCGGTCTTATGATGAAAAATTTCTACCGTTAATCAAATAACTCATCTCTCTTCAGGTGATAACTAAAATCTCGATCTTGCCCATATGTAGACATGACAGGTTGGTGAACATTTTCCGTTGTATGTGTCCTCCATCTCACTTAGTCCCTGTTTGGTGAAAATTAAAATCAAATTTTTAGCAAATTTTAATAAAAGTTGATGAACTGTGTGGTTAAAAAATTGTGAATCACATAAAATATATGATTAAAATTAATTATTCATTTTGATAAAAATCTAGATTTGAATTTTTATCAAAGAAGGGCTTTAATCTTAGATTTAAACAAGTCCAGTCCCTTTTTTTTCCCCTTAAAAGTTAACCTAAGTTATCCGGACTTAATAAGGTGATTGCACGTGCCACAAAGGAGAGATTAGTTCTTTGGTTAAACCCCACATATAAAACCCCAGTTTGATTTAGATAAAAATTAGATTTTTAAGGAATTTTGATGAAATTTGACGAAACGTGTTATTAAAAAGTTGTGGACCTCATTAAATTAATAGTTAAAATTAATTATTGACTTTAATTTACATTTCAAATTTTTTTTTAGCTGAACCAAAAATGAGAAAAATGTGTACCTAGCCATTTATACAAGTTCATATCGTAACGTAACTTCAAATGCTTCATCAAAAAAAAAGACTACAATGTTCAATTTTTCCTAAGCAAAGGGAGATGTATGGATTACAAACCTCACAGAATTTTGGCATTCAATATGGAGCTCGGCATATGTGCACATCCATTGAAGCAACAGTAGAGCCTTTGGGGTTGTGACTGAGTTCAAAAGTGCAAACATCTCCATTCTTGAGCTTGTTGGATTCATAAAACTGCTTCCAGCCCTTGTCCATATCAACACGGCCAATACGACGATATTTCAGTTCCACCGACCACTTCTTTCCTGAAGGATCTTTTAGATTTAGGCTCGTCGTCTTTTTCATGTCATTTGATTTCCAAAATTCTGCCGGGATATGCTGAAATTCATGAAATTAAGAAATAACCGCACAATTCAGAAGATCAACACGTTTGTGTGAAAAAAGAAAAGAAAAAATGCATCATGTTACAGGCATGTTTGGCTAAGCTTTTTTTTTTTTTTTCACTTTTCTTGGGACTACCTACTCCCATTCTATGTACACTTATCTATCTTAACATTAGTAAGAACAAGGATTGAAGGGAAAAGAATATGAAAGAACAAAAACCAAAGACGATTATACAAAAAACTATACGTAACTTTTGTTTCTAAACATGGTTGCATAAGCGACTTCCTCTTCTTAACAAGTAAAAAAAGGTAAGCTATTTTGACACATTGTAAGCGTTAATTTCAAAATGAGCTGTTTTCACTTAGGGTCCGTTTGATTGCAAAGTTGGAAAATGGGTGGAAAGAAAATGTTTTACAGGGAATTGATTTTCCTAGAAAATGTTTTACTGGGAATTGTAATTAATTGTGTTTGATTGGTATAATTTTCCATGGAAAATGTTGAAAGTTTGGTATCCATTTGGCTTCTTTTTTTATGGAATTTGTCCATTAAAGTGATAATTTTTTCTA